AACACACATATTAACAGTATTTGAGCATTTCTGACATTTTACTGCTACCAAACTACTATACTTACTTGAAAGATAATAATCTGTGTCTATCACTGCATTTAATGTAATGCTGATCCAGATGAGCATAAATCATTTCTTGACATGTTGTATCAAATTAAAAATAGTTAAAACAAATGTATTGGCTTGGGCAACTTTGACAGAGGTATGAGCTCTTTACTTAAACTTAAAAATGGGATACTACATGCAACTTCCATCTATACATTTCCAATAAATATAAACTGTAACCCCCAAACCAAGTTATATGTGAAACTGTGAATTTGGCCAACTGTTTCATCCAAAATCATTGCAGCATGGAAGAAATACCAGTAGCATGGGCTGCTACACACGGTGTACACATTTTAAAACAAAACATGAAATTCAGTCACCTGTAAAATATAACTTAAAAAATGGTAATAATTTTATTTTGTGCTTGATCTTTATTGGTAATTTTATGGCCTGCCTGTATTTAAGTAAAGCTAACTGACACTTGTGATGAATGCAGAACATGTTGGAAAGTGCATGTTTGTTACCTATTTTAGCATGAAATTGCCATAGTGCTGTGTGACACTCCCCAAGTTGTTGTGTAATGGTGCATAATAATGTTCTCTGCATACTACAAAGTGGTCCAGGCAATGGAGTGAAATTTCCGCATTTTTTTTTTTACAGCTTTCAACAACAGGTTTGCACACAGAAATGACAAGTGATTTTCTATACATAAAAATACTTCTGTCCTGTCCTATTAAAGTTACATATTGATTTACAAGAGGCACACAACAACACAACACTTAACATGACACAACACTTAATTTACTGTTCATTTACAGCTTAGAGAATATAACGTGACTACAATGAACATGATGTGCAAATTCGCAAATTTGCATAATCAAATTATTCAGTTTTCTGTCATTATTAAAATCTGCCTCTGTCTGTCTTTAATGTAGGTTGTCTGTCTTTTCATACAGTTTTGCTATAAATCTCTCCAAATATGTATGTATACAGAGTTGCACCTTCTACCAGTAATGTGATGCATTTGTGTTTTTTGTATTCATGTCATTCACTTGCTGTCATTTTATAAACCCTGTACAAAGTCAAACAGCAACTTCTTATGCCTGCCTTGTACTTCTGTTTGTGTGAGGACCAATTTGAGTATTACTCCTTGAGAGTGAGTACATTTTCAGAATGTGAGGACATTTTGTCCTGTCCCTACTATTTTTAGGGTTAAGACTTTTTTTAATGGCTGAGGTTAGTATAAGGTTTTGGATTAGGTTAAGGCTAGGATAGCGGTTTTAGGGTTGTGTATGTGGTAGTGATGGCTACAGTAAGGAGCCAGGGAATGCATTAATAAGTGTAGTAGAACAAATCTGTGTGTGTGTGTGTTTGTGTGTGTGTAGTAGTAGTCAACTTTTTTTTTAAGTACAATTAAGTGGGCAGCTAACATCAGGTCATCTATTTATAAGAAATATTTAAGTATGCACAAATGAAATACTAATGTTAAACATGAGGAATATAATTTCCCTTGTTCTGTCAATATGTGCTTTTTGATTATCCATTTGTAAGAGAAGTGATAGTTGCAAAGCAAACATGAGAGAAGACGTGCCTAAGGGGAAGTAAAAGTACATTTGAAAGCAGCGGTGTCCTCAGATATGAATAAGCTTTAGTTGAAGCATTACTCATAGTGAAACCAGATGAGAGCCATCGGTCAGTGATGTGTCCCTTGACATATAGTGCAGTCAGAATGTATTAGGACAGTGATAAATCTTTTAATGTGTTGGCTTTGTATTATAGGATCTAGAATTTGAAATCAACCAAGACAATGAGGTTAATAGTGTCAACTGTTCCCTTGCAGTGGCCTTGTTTTGGGGTTACACAATAATTTCATAAAAAAGTTAAATGAGGACAGTTCTACTCATGAACCTTAAACCAAAGCAGGAATTCTGAACAATGTGAAAAAAAACACATTATTTCCAACTTAGCTATGAGTATGATAAACATGCTGATAAACTGATTACATGCCTTTACTTCAAGCTGACTTGATTACAGTAATAAACTTTTTGAGAGAGACTTCAGCTCATACAAAACTCTGCAGCTCGGCTATTAACCAAACCAAGAGGAGAAAGCACATTAGTCCAGTTTTAGCTGCTCTGCACTGGCTTTCTGTAACATTTGGAATTGATTGTCCTCCTCCTTATGTACAAATAAGCCCTTAATGAGCAAGGATTGAGCTACATTGTTACTCCCTTGTGAACTATTTCTCTTTAACATCACTGTGATCATCTGCTGCTGGTTTGTTGGAGGTTCCTAGCAACAGCCAAAAGAAAATCTGGGATGCACACGACCTATAGATATCAGGGAAGCCAGCTCGCTAAATATTTTTAAAAGAAAGCTAAAAACGTAGCTCTTAGCCTTTAAGTAGCTATGACTTTCCTGATATAGGCTCTACACTTGACAAACACAAATGCTGTATTTTACCTGCTTGTATGCATTCTGTTGTAAGACCTGATTTTATGTCCATTCTATGTATATTTTATGCTCATTCTGTGTCTATTTTCATGTGAAACACTCAGAGCATGTCATTTCATTATTGTAAAGCACTTTCAGCTGCATTTCTTGAGGTAGATGGCTGCCCACCCTGAGTCTAGGTTCTGCTAGAGGTTTCTGCCTGTTAAAAGGGAGTTTTTCCTTGCCACTGTTGCCAAGTGCTTGGTCATATTGGGAACTGTTGAGTCTCTGTAAAAATTATTACGGTCTATTATGGTCTAGACCTTCTGCCTACTTGTCAACTGACTGATGTAGCTGAGTTGATAATGATGCACTGTTATACATTTGTTAGGTAACCTAAGGTCGAGATTATCTTGTTTCATTACAGACAGACTGCTTGGCTCTTTGTTAGAAGTGTTGCATGTTGCTTAAATGACACACAACGTGACTTGATTTGAACCAAAAATCAATAGACTCTTCACACATGTAAAAAGGGGTGAAAAATAACCATGTTTGGACACTTTATGAATCTCTGTAGTTTTAGGAAGGATGAATATCCCCGGACAATAAGTATTCTAGATTTTAGCATTTTGCAGGGAAACACAGAAAGATATGTCATCTGGTATTATGTTACAAGACACGGACATATTTTACAAGCACGGACCAGGTAAAGCAACAGTGAACCCTCCAATGCAGATGTCATTTGGTACCATGCTGGTTTTGATCGTTTGATAGGCTACATCATTAACAAGCCAGCAGGTGGTGCACCTGCTGCTTTAAAAACGGAATGGCGAGTGGAAATATCCTCAAAAAAGACAAGTCCTTTCGGCCAGTTTGTAAAAAATATTGCTGATGGATAAAGTCAGCAGAGCAGACACACAGGTAGAGAGAGACAGGAAGAGGCGAGGCAAGCTGGTGTGTTTGCAGTAAGGGACTTGAGGTGTAAGTGTGTGTGAGTGAGTGTGGGGAAAAGAGAAGTTCGAGGCAGGTGCCAGGTGGTAATAATTTCTGCGGGAATTAAAACATTCTTTCACTGGGCGGTATAGTGTGAAAATATAAAGACGTTTTTTGCCGGGGTACAATCACAATGCCGGCTGAACATTGATATCTATCGGCACAACACTGCGCTATATAAATAAAATGGAATTTAATTGAATACAAATAAAGGTTATTATTATTAGTCAGGTTAACATGAATGTGCTTACATTAGGTGACAGATTTAGACAGTCCAGAATATTTCACTCTGTCCATGAAAACAAAAACCTTTATTACCTTGCCATTGTGTTGAGGATCATTGTTCAGCTGCATTGTCCTGCAATTGTAGTACTATGTATAAAAAGGTGCCATGAGTCCGAGACTGTTCACACAGTATAAGCACCCTCAAACACCCTTAAAGCAATTAGTTTTAAAGTGCTCTTTGGAGATTGTCACTAGCAAACTGCAGTTGTTCAATGACCAGGTTTATAGGCTAAGCATTACAATATATGACTGTGTCATCAGTACTTAAATGTGACACAATGTAATTTTCAGTGAACAGGACAGGACCAAAAATAGGAAGTCATCGATAAAGTAAGGACCACTGGTACTCATTTACCTAAACCTAAAGGAGAAAATTAACTAAATAAACTAAAAAATCTGTGTAACAGTAAAGGTCCTAGAATCTTGACCCTAAATGTATTTTAGGACTATGGCACTGCCTTGACCTCAGTTTCCTTTTGTATTAAACACAGACATTCCAGTGGAAGGAGGTTATTGAAAATGTCCAAATTGGAGAAAGGTCTAGCTTGTCTAGGAAAAAAGGAGATGAGTGTTGACAACTCTGCAGGGAGAGTAAGAAATATCAGAGCATATCTCACTGTGAAGTCAAAAAGATCCCTGATTTTTATTTTTAAAACGGACATCTGAGTTTTCACTTTGTCAATCAACATAGGGGGTCACAGGGGTCTTGCAAATAGTGTCAAATTTTCAAAAATGAATCTTGAGGGCATTTGGCATCCTAAGAAAACAGTACCTTCACATGATCAGCTCCTCAGAGTTCTTTGTGTTGTTGTATAATTAAACACTGATTCTCTAAGTATCTCAACCTTTAACAGATGTGTAGAATGTTTGTCGAGATGTTCATTATGCTTGAGAAGTCTATATTCAGAACAGCTGCTTTAAGAATGAGTAAAGGAATTGAAGAAACCAGGACACAATTTTTATGCTACCTTTATTATGCCATTTGATGATGTCATAGAGTTTTTCACCTAGTTTTCCCAATGATACAGTTCAGCTCATGTGGTACTATTTACAGATAACTTTGAATGACTTCTGGCATGGTAAATATGCAGGAAAAGTTGTGAATCCTTTTTGTTTGGCAGAGGATGCTGAGATTTTGATTTGTCCACGGATTGTAAATAGCATCTAAAAATGTGACTTGATCTTCAGCACATTCCTTAAATTTCTCTCTTTTCTCTCTCTCTCTATCTTTTCTGCTCTTATAGGTCCATTGTTGTGTGATGGACGGCTGACACACCTCCTCTTTCCTCTACTCCTCCTTTTGCGGGCTCCCCTGTTGTTTAGTTTTGGTGAGCGCACCTGTCCCAACAGCTGCCGATGTGAGGGGAAAACTGTCCATTGTGATTCAGCTGGCTTCTTGGATGTCCCAGAAAATGTCTCAGTAGGATGCCAGGGCCTCTCCCTGCGCTACAATGAACTGCACACCCTGTTACCATATCAATTTGCTCACCTCAGTCAGCTTCTGTGGATATACTTGGACCACAATCAGATTTCAGCTGTTGACAGTCGAGCATTCCAGGGGGTCCGAAGGCTTAAAGAGCTAATACTGAGCTCCAACAGGATCACATCCCTGCACAATTCAACATTCCATGGAATTCCCAATCTTCGCAGTCTGGACTTGTCCTACAACAAATTGGAAATTCTGCAGCCAGGTCAATTCCATGGCTTACGAAAACTACAAAACCTACACCTACGGTCAAATGGTCTATCCAACATCCCAATTCGTGCATTCCTAGAGTGCCGAAGTTTAGAATTTCTGGATTTGGGCTACAATCGAATCAAGGCTCTTACCCGCACCACCTTTTTGGGGCTACAGAAACTGATGGAGTTGCATCTGGAACACAACCAGTTCTCACGAATCAACTTTTTTCTGTTTCCCCGCTTAGCCAACCTGAGATCACTCTATCTGCAGTGGAACCGCATTAGGGTGGTCAACCAGGGCCTTCCATGGACTTGGTATACACTGCAGAAACTTGATCTGTCTGGAAATGAAATCCAGACCCTGGACCCAGCGGTGTTTCATTGCTTGCCTAACCTTCAAGTTCTAAACCTGGAATCCAACAAACTGTCCAATGTGTCTCAGGAAGCAGTGTCTGCATGGATCTCACTGACCTCCATCAGCCTTGCTGGGAATATGTGGGATTGTGGAACTGGCATATGCCCACTTGTGGCTTGGTTGAGGAATTTTCGGGGTAGCAAAGACACCACTATGATATGCAGCAGCCCAAAGTATTTACAGGGAGAAAAAATTATGGAAGCCACAAGGAACCATGGTATTTGTGAGGAAACTGATTACATTCTGACTGAAACACCCTCACCGATGTCAGAGCTAATTTCTGAAGCCACAGCTGAACCGACCTTTGCCCCTACTAGTGGCTCTCCACCTATGCCACCAACCAGCACCTTTGGTCCTCTCCCACCATTCAGACCTCGACCTATTCCTAACCCTACCTTTCCAGGGCATATGAGCAAGGACCCAAGAGACTCAGTTTCCCGCACTCGACCCACTCTCATACCACCCCCTGAGATAGAGCACATGACTCTGCACAAAGTGGTGGTGGGAAGTGTGGCACTCTTCTTCTCCATGTCCCTACTCTTGACAATTATCTATGTGTTGTGGCGGCGCTATCCAGGTGCAACCAGGTTGCTGCAGCAGCGATCCATGGTGGGGCGAAAGCGTCGCAAAAAGAGTCCAGAGCCTGAGCAGAACCTGAGCTCCCAGCTCCAAGAGTATTACATGAGCTACAACCCTGCTGCCACACCAGAGGCACTGGAGGTGCTAGGCAATGGCACTGGTTCCTGCACTTGCACAATTTCTGGCTCCAGGGAGTGTGAGGTATGATTCATCGCATCAGCCAAAAAATAAAAACTCAAAATCAAAATACAAAGGCTCAACAGAGAGGTAAATCCTTTATCACGTATGCCCTATAAAAAGACACTGTTGAATCACAATTAGGCACCCTTGACTCTTCGTTCATAACACGCTTGACTTCAAATGTTAGATGTCTCCAATTATTCAGGTTATACTTTTAAAACCTTAAAGTGGGAAATGGAAAACAACTAATCTGATCCATTGGAAGCAATCTACAACATGGGTTCAGAGGACCACTTTATTACAAAAACAAAAATAACCCTGCAAAATTGTGTTCTTTGAAGTGTGAAGAGTGTAGCTTGAATACTGGATTGCAGAACAGCAATTAATCTTTGTATTATTTGCTATCTAAATTTTATTGTAAAAGCTACACATTTGTTAATGCTCTTCATAGTATATCAACTTTAAAAAGACCATGAATAATTGGATACTGTACTATTTTGCAGGCACCACTCCATCAGCATGGCATGGTTCATTGTTGTAAGGCGTGTGTGTGTGTGTGTGTGGTAGGGTTGAGGGAGGTCCAGGGATGGAGGTGCGGATACACTAGTATATTTATGTGTGTTTACAGAACATATTTCTCTGGGAATGTTTATTTTATATTACTAATGCTAACTTCCAAATTGCCATAGTTCACTTCATGCAAAATCCATGGTGCGTTGGTATTGATCGTTATTTGACAATTTTGCGATCCCATGGCAAAGTGAGAGCAGTTGTTTGTTAATGTGTTCATTCCAAGGTTGCACATTTTAGGTTATAGGTGACAAGGATTTGTGATCTGCATGGCCTCATGTATGGATGTGCCTTTCATTGTTAACCTGAGTTTCTCTGGAACAGTGCACAACTTCCCCAGTTGTGTTTAGATTTATGGTAATCTGCACAGAGGCGAGGCACTACTGTAATCCCAGAGTTTATGAAGAAATGTCTTTCATTTGGATCCCTCTGCTGTGATAATGAATATATATATATATATATATATATTTTTTTTTTATATATATATATATTTATAAATGGGAAATATTTATAAGAAAAAAACATAATTTTAATTATTTTAAAATTAAGGAGTCCTTGCGGTTGTGATTGGGTCCTGTATTTACTGAATACCCTGTGCCGTATAATGTAGTAATGGAGTCTTACTTTTCTAAATGCTATATATTGTACAAAGAGAATATTATTGCTACTGTTCCTCATTGGAATTTTTCCTGTACTCTAGTCAGAAAAATGTTTGTAAAAGTATATGACTAGGATACTTGATTACATACAGGATACATTTTTTCTTGTAGGATTAGTCAGATTAGTCAGCTTTATTGTAAATAAATATAAAGCAAGTCGAGCAAGTCAGTCCACTCTGTATAAGTCATAAATCTCTTCTCATAGCTTTTACCTTTTTACTTCGACTGTGAAATAGTTCTCAAGCTACTAATTTATTTTATTTCATCTTTCCTCGTGCCATATGTTCAGATGGGAAGCTTGAGAGTTACAATACAGCAAGTTTACTTACACGATAAGCCCTGACATCGAGTTCTATTGGAATCATTCTGATTGTGGTGCATTATGAAGATCTGTGGCTTCACAATGCCCAACTGAAAGAAGATGTACAGTTTGTTTTATCCACGCTCACTGATACATTAAACTGCAATTTGTTCTCACAATCTGTCTGCATATGATTTAATAAGGCTGCAGTTAACAGAGATGGGGACTCGTTTGACAACCTTTAAAATGCTTGTTTTGTAAATGGCGTTCTGATTGGTCAGGGGCTACGGTATGCTAACTTGCTTCTTTGGAAAGTACTACAATAACTGGAATCCAGTAACATATTTTCTGAACTTACCTTTTAGTTCAACTTCCCCACTTACTTTTCTTCAAGCAATCTCTGTTTTAGTACCACCGAGCAACTGGATCGCTGTAGCAGACAGGTTGAGAAGCGCTTCTGAAGATAAATCAACTTAAAATTATAACTAAAAAGATAATAAAGAAATTAACTCTGATCTCCTCCCGCCAGCAAATGTCTTAGCATCAGAGCAGAATCCATTGCGACTGCAGGTGTTTATTTGTCCAAAAGCTCTGATGTGACCCCAGGCTCTCTCCTCCAGAGCTCCCCAGCACTCAGTAGCTGTCTGTCGGCGAGCAGATGCTCTGTCCCTTCGCTCTACTCGGTCCTGTCCACTTTTAATTTAAATGTACTGCTCTATACACAAAAGTGCAGTAACATGTAGTTTGCAAACACTTATATAAGTGTTGATAATAAGGTGCTTTTTACCAGCAATATTCCCTTTACAAGGTAGCAATAAAATATTTCTTGTAAATCTCAACTTAAACATTAATGTAATCAAATCAAATATAAAACCAAAGCTATTTGCCACTGCCAGGGCATTACCTTTTATCATCATTACCATTAAAAGTCCAGAGCCACGATCAAAACATCATAACAGGCACACTTCTGAGCAAAAGGATAACACATATAAATCTGTTTTCTTGCTTTTGTTTCTGAACTGGTATCAGCAGAAACATTTTTCTTTTATCAGGGAGCAGCATAAACAGTCTATGTTCAGTAGCAAATGTCCCTGTTAGAGTGAGGTCAAGTGTTCGAGCACAAGGCAAAGTGACAAGCAGGCACGTTCCCATGAAACTGTCGCGGTTGTGCTCGTCTCACGCACACGCCTCCCAGCTGACAAAGCTGAATTTACTTGAACTTTTTGTATGCGATGTGTTGCACAAATCATTGGAAGAGAGACTGAGCCTCACAGTTTGTGAGTTTTACTAATCAGCATGCAGTGTGTAGCTATCCACTTTGCTATGGCATTTAATAGTTCACTTGTCTTGCTTTATTTATCTTCTTCTCCCACACGCCGCTGTAGTCTGCCGAAGCCTCCCTCCACTGCTTGTTTGGGTGGGTGCTTTGCAGGCTGATCAACATCCTGCCCCTCCTGTGACCCATGGTTTGACTGAGCCAGTGAGCTACAGACTTTCAAAATAATAATAAAAACTGCGTTAACGTGCGATAAAATTATTGTCGGTGTTAATTAATTAATGCTTAATGCGATAATAACTACTGGGACTTGGGTAAAAAAAATCTCAAGCATGGCACAAAATTGATATTGTGATTATTTATATTGAAAATTATTCTGTAGTTAGCTGCTTTGTGGGATGTTTAAAAAACATAATGTCCGATGTATTTTTAAAGAAAATAAATACATTAGTCATGTTCCAAACCTGACATGTATGTATAATCATTTTAAAGCTGCTGCCATGCTCTATGCTAAATATAATTTAGAATGTCATAAAAACATATTCACATTATGACATGCTGATTTATTTTGGGTCCTAAAAACAGCCCCAGAAAAGGTTGAGAGAACCAGGCTTAGGCAGAGGTATGTACAGTCCTGTGTCAGCTGTGTTAGTCATACATTTGGCACCAATGGGCAGCTTGACTGCAGTTTGCCACAAAACAAAAACAGTGTTCTAATTCCCTTTTCTAACGCTGCAAGTATTTCTGTAGCAATCAGTGTCAGTGTATTGTCTCTCTCCACATAGCCTAATCCAGATCTCTTCATCTGAAGCTCTCCTTTTCAACATCACTGATAGATGTCTACAGTAGTTTGTTGGGGGGTGGGGGGTTTACATCAATTGACAAGCTGCCGTAAGCCTGGTTTAGTTTGATGAAAGTGCCATCTTGCTGGCTGGCACATCTGGCTGCGCCTTTTATCATGGGTCTGTGCAGCGCCAGCAATCCCTGTGGATGGCAATGTGGAAGAACAAGAGCCAACACAACACAATTACCCTGCTGTGGTTAGGACTCAGTGAGGTATTGTCAAGACTGGCACAGAACTGTGTGCCGAAAGGAAACAGTTCACTGTCTCTTCTACTTAGGTCCTAAAGGTTTTGGTGCTGGAAACTCCAAACTTAAAAGCCCCACAAATCTAGACAGGTGTTATCAGTCACTCTGGCTGATTATTTTATGTTCAGGTTCAAGGTGGATGCAGCCATTCTGTGAGTGCACTGAGATCACCAAAATACATTCACAAATACCACATTGCATCATCTTGTACAGAAAGTAATTGTTAGCAGTTGAAAGGGAAATTCAGTTCAGGTCATCTTGAGTGGGATTTCATGGGGATTTCTGATAGCTACAATATCTCCTACCTGGAAAAAAGAACTACAAAAGTGTTAACAAATGACTACAAAGCCACCAGCTCTGGCAAATCCATACAATCAGCTAATTAAAAGGAGGCAGCCCAAGTGGGGTACTGACTTTTGCAGGAGCATGATGTACATACGTGTGTGCGCACACACACACGCACTAGCATTAATTTACCATTTCTGTCTCCACCACTCATATATTCTTCAATTGCTAACATTGAAATATCTTAAGGTTTCTTACATAAAGATACAAAAAGATAAATACACCTTGCACCTATAAACAAATGTACTTCTCAAACAGTTGGTTCAAACTTATCTTTATCTTGTAGGGCTTAACAATTCATTATTTTAATATTGAATTTTAAGAGAGTGCAATTTTCAAACTGCCAGCGCAGCAATTGTAAATGTAACTTAATTTACAATACCTTAACAATAGGTGTGGAGTTAAAGGTTGATTCAAATAAGAACCGAGATTCTTGCCTTCTACTATTTCAAATCAGGCCAAAGAAGTAAAGAGCTGCCTGCTCTGCCAGCTGCCTGCTCTCATTGGCTAGATGTGGATGTCGAGTCAGCCGACTCCTCCAGATATTTGGCATACTAGATATCTGGCAGACGTTGGCGATGTGGCAGGAATGTGTCGGGATGCCATTGTGATGCGTCGTTGTGTACTTCACAAATAACGACTGGCGACCGCCGATCAACCGCTGATTTACTCCCGACTACAGCCTGACGGTCGCCGAGCTAGCCGAGTGGCAAATCGGGCTAAAAATTTTGTAGTGTGAACTAGGCTTAACTTTAAATACAAAGCTGTGTACTCCCACAGA